ACACACACACACACACAGAGAGAGAGAGAGAGAGAGAGAGAGAGAGAGAGAGAGAGAGAGAGAGAGAGAGAGAGAGAGAGAGAGAGAGATGCAGAGACTGTTGCCCTTTTTTGTGTGGAGTCGTGTGTAGGGAATACAAGAGAGAGAGAGAGAGAGAGAGAGAGAGAGAGAGAGAGAGAGAGAGGACGACACACACTTGTGCCGGTGAAGGGGTGAAGAGCAAGCGGAGGGGGCAGAAACGGGCGGGTGGGGGAAGAGGGGGTTGCCGCTGGAAGGACTCTACTGACGCAGCTGTGAATTTACTGTATTTCCGAGGACAGAGAGAGGGAGGGGGGGGGGGGGGGGGGGGGGGGGGGGGGGGGGGGGGAGGAGAGGTCGTTGTGGTGAGCGGTTATGATTTGAATTTATATTTTATTGTATTGTATTATGTGAATTGATTCTCCGCTCGGTTGTTGGCGGGAATTGAGTTTTCGCGGGGACATCAGGCGCGCGGCGGCTGGCCCGACCCGCCCAAAACCAAAATTGGTCCGTGACTTTTTACCGCCGAGTCGCCGACCAAGTTTTTCAGGCTGCTGGTGGTCTTTTGGCGCCGACCGCAGGTTCTTGGTTCTTGGTTCCTGGTTTTTGGTTCTGGCGGGGGCGCGGGCCGGGGCGGGGTCGGCGTCGGCGGGGGGAGGGGAAAGGAAGGGAAAAGGAGTGTGAGAAATCGAAGTGCGCAACGCGCGCGGAAATTGCGGGAAAAAAATTGGTCGCTCGGAGGCGAAAGGCGCGGCGGCCCGCGGCGGTCTTTTGATTGGCCGCCGTGATGTCACGTTTTGCGTAATGGTGTTTTCGATTTTCTGGTTCTCTCTCGGCAATTCGTCGAGTGCGGCGCGTTCGTGCGCGCCGACGTGGCAGCAGTCGGGATGGCCACGTCAGATAGCCCGGCGGGAAGAGTCGTCTCGTCCCCTCCACCGAGCGGGGGCGCAAAAAATGCGCGCCTAATTCCGCTCCCAGTCATTGCTGCAGCGGCCATAGGTTTCGTCATCCTCGGGTTTTTCGGCGGGAGAAGGCGAGGTATGTTTTTTTTTTGTGTGTCTGTGT